TTAAAATTAAAGTTTCGAACTAAAAAGAAGAAATTTTCGGAATTTTCTTATTTAATTCGAAATTTTTTGTGACTTTTTAAATGAAATGTTGAAGTAGTATACCCATAGCGGGTTGTGATTTTCGAAATATAAGCGAATATTCGAAAAAGCTTTAATCATGATAACATCCATGATTTTCAAAAATGTTTAAAAAGAAATGTCAAAAATGTGCGCTTTGGGCATTTTTCGGCATTGATTTCGAAAATAAAAAAGCAAATCTAAACGTATAGTTTTTCAAAAATACTTAGTTGCAGAAAGCTTCGTTCGAAATGTATTTAAAATTGTGCAAAGCACAACACAGACTACGTCGAAAGTAAGGTTAGGTTGCAACATTTATATTTAAGATAACCTCAATCAACTTTTTGCCTATTGAAAATCAGAAAAAAAAAACACAAAAGAAGTTTTATAACGATGCCACTCAAAACTGCTTAAAACTTTCGAAATGCTTGGTGTAGTTTTGAGTTTATTTTATTCAGACATATGAAATTTTTTAATTAATTTTTGTTTTATTTTAAATGTTTGTTGTAGAGCGCACAACAACGCTGTAACAAATATTTTAGAATTCCAAAAAATTATAATATTTTTGAAACTAATAACGACAAATGACGGTAAAAAATATGTATGTATGTATATATATGCTTGTACTGTGGTTATATTTTGAAATGAGCATAAGGAAAACAAACCAATAACATTTACAACTGGTGAATGTTTCAACATTTGTGTTGTACGGGAGAATTTTTTTTTTCACATTTTATTATTGTATTTTCTTTTTTTGAATCAAACAAATTACACAATTGATAACCTATTTACGCTAGTTGATATTTAACTATGCTTGTGGCATGGTCGCAGTTAAATTATATATTTTCGCTGTTTGTACATTACGTTTGCTAAAAAATGTTTTTTTTTTTACTTTTCTTTGTTTTTGTATCATTCTATCGTACTAACGGTATATGCTTGCCTTGCAATGGCCCACGACCACAGCAGCGCTGTAATATCCACTCATTGCCGCGCTAAACTGAGTTCGACGTCAAATGTAAAGAAAATCGAAGCGCTTATACCACGCATTGCTCATCCGAAGCAGGCATTGGAACGCATTCAGCTTTTAAAATATCACGTTGCAACGCTGCAAAAAATTGATGCTCCAGCATTGTTTTTGGTGTCGGCCATTTCGGGTGCTTTCTTTTTTTTTTGTTGTGTTGCTTTAAATATTACAAAAATGTTTAGCAAATTTTGAAATAATTTACATATTTTTGTAGTAGCATCCTTTATTAACTTTTCGTTTCTTTTTTCTACTGCCTTGGCAACTTTATAGATAACTGCTTTTGCTTTTTGTTTATGTTTGGTTTTTTGCTTATTTTTTGTTGGTGTGTGTATGTGTGTGTATACTCACATAAATGTTACATAGTAACTCAATATGGAAAAATGTTGTGTAAGAAACGTAAAAATCGTCTATAAATCATTAATTTAAAGCGTACAGCACAACGGTTTAACGGTTTTTAATGTAAAAGTATAAACAAAAAAGTTTTTGTGACAGTCAAAACAAACAAAAAATTGCAGAGTTTACAAAAGTATGCGCGCATATAGGTAAATGTAGATGTATGTATGTATATATGTGTGTTTAGTTAAATTTTGTGTTTGTTGCTGTTTTGGGTTTTGTACATTAGTTGCATAATTATTTTGAGAAAACCGAAATAATAGCAGTGCAGCACAGAAAGAGTCTTTAAATTAACTAGTTATTTTATTTAAATTGTTTCATTTATATTTTTATAATAGTAGTATGTATGTATGTATATATAATTTGTTTATAACTAACTTTAACCATTTTCGCAGTTATAAATTTTATTTTATTTTTAAATTTATTACCTTTTGTAGTTTTATTTTTATTTTTTATTTCTTGTATATATGTATATAATAATAAATTGTAGTATGTATGCACTTATTAAATTATCGCTTGATGTTTCTTGTGTTTTTTGTTTGTAATTTTATTTTCAGTTATTATTGTAGTTGCAATCGTAACTGTAGTGTACAAAATAAATTATGTTTATTTATTGGTTTGTATTTTTTGTTTTAATGGTATTACTTTTATTTAGTTTGTATTTAATAGTAGTAGTTGTAGTTGCAATATGTACTAATATTGGTAGTTGTAGCAGTAATTGTTGCCGTTTCATTATTATTATAATTATATTTATATATGTATATAATATATGATGTATGTATATGTATTTTAGCGGTTTAAACTTTTTATTTATTATTTTTACTTTTAAATTGTATTATAATTATATAAACTGTTCTTTATCATGTGGTTTTTGCTGTTCATTTCGCTGATGTGGCTGTGCGCGCCATTACGTCCACTACTGCCATTGCTATATATTTGTTGTTTGTTTACTTTCTTTGTTGTTGTTGTTGCTACTGTCACAGTAAGTATCTCAAGAACTGCTGCAGTCACCGCCACAACTACGCAGCGCCAGTGAAAAACGTAAAAAATACACACGCTTACAATGCAATGAAAATGCGGCCAATGAATCACCGGTCGGTGGACGCTCAGACACATTTGACAAGTGCATATACACATCGCGTTGTTGTAGTCCGTTATCATGCAATTATTTCACGTTGCCTTAGTAGTAGAAGAGATGCTGCAGCACGCAAACTAAGCGAGCGCTAACAGTTTTGATAACAAAACAAAACAATATTGTTTTTGTTCTTCATCTGGTGTTGGTATGCGCGCTGTGGCGGTGACTTGGCTTGCGGCAGCATCGACGTTACGGAATTTGCTTTCAACAGCAATTGTGGTTGCTTCACTTGATTTGCTTGTTTCTTGGTTTTTTTGCAGTTGGTGTTGTTTTTGTTGTTGTTGCTGATGTTGCTTCTCAAAATATGGATGACGATGATGCTGATGACAATGATGGCAGTAATGATCATAAGGACGATCAACAAATTGGTAACGACGTTGGCGATTATAACGTCATACGCATTTTATTCGATTCTATTGCATCGATGCAAGACCAGCCGAGCTGCTGATGTGCGATGAATTACCTAATGTGGATGCCATGTCCTGGTAGCTGAACTGTTGGTGTGGAAAATATGAGAGATATTTATTTAATTAATTATATTATATATACATGAATAAAATTAGGCTATGTACACTTTTTTTTGACACTAGCCGTCTTAAAACACGAACAAGAAAAACGCTAAGCAGGTTAACGGGATTGTCCTTTACAAATAAAGGTAGCTTCTGCACGAAAACTTGATTTTGAGCAAAAGGTTTGTAGTATAAGCTACAGCAATTCTCACTGAAAAAATTTTTCGGTGACTCTACCGTTGTTGTTGTAGCGGCAGAAAACATTCCTAAAGTTATTTCGAGGCATAGTGCAGAGTTGAGAGTTTTTGGCTGAATAAAAATCCGGGTATGTTCCGGTTACTTAAACCCAACGGTAATGGGATTCGTGGGATCATTGCAATATCACAGGTTGGCTTTTCATTTAGGCTCTGAACTTTGTCATGCTGGTT